GGAGCCCCGGCGAAAGCGGCGCCTGGTGCTGGTCATCGTGTGCGTGGCGCTGCTGCTAGACAACATGCTGTACATGGTCATAGTGCCCATTGTGCCAGACTACATCGCCCAAATGCGCGGGAGCAGCGACAGCGCCACCCCGAGCACCGAAAGCTGGACGCCCACCGCGCTGCCGCCCACCTTGGCCAATGCCTCCATGGCCAACACCTCAGCGCTCCCGACGGCTGCGGGCCCAGCCTGGCCAGCCCTACGGCCCCGCTACCCCACGGAGAGTGAGGACATGAAGATCGGGGTGCTATTCGCGTCCAAGGCCATCCTGCAGCTCCTGGTGAATCCCCTGAGCGGCCCATTCATCGACCGCATCAGCTACGACGTACCGCTGCTCATCGGGCTGGGTGTAATGTTCTCCTCCACGGTCCTGTTCGCCTTCGCCGAGGACTATGCCATGCTCTTCGCCGCACGCAGCCTGCAGGGCCTGGGCTCGGCCTTCGCCTACGCGTCCGGCATAGCCATGATCGCCGACAAGTACCCCGAGGAGCCGGAGCGCAGCCGTGCGCTGGGCCTGGCCCTGGCTTTCATCAGCTTCGGGAGTCTGGTGGCGCCGCCCTTCGGGGGCATCCTCTACGAGTTCGCTGGCAAGCGCGTGCCCTTCCTGGTGCTCGCAGCAGTGTCGCTCCTTGACGCGCTCCTGCTGCTGGTGGTTGCCAAGCCATTTTCTGCCGAGGCTCGAGCGCGGGCCAACCTGCCGGTGGGCACGCCCATCCACCGCCTCATGATGGACCCCTACATCGCCGTGGTAGCCGGAGCTCTCACCACCTGCAACATCCCTCTCGCCTTCCTGGAGCCCACCATTGCCACGTGGATGAAGCACACGCTGGCGGCGTCCGAGTGGGAGATGGGCCTGGTCTGGCTGCCGGCCTTTGTGCCACATGTGCTGGGCGTCTACCTCATCGTGCGCCTGGAGGCGCGCTACCCGCACCTGCAGTGGCTCTACAGCGCTCTTGGGCTAGCGGTGATCGGCGCCAGCTCTTGCCTCGTCCCTGCCTGCCGCTCATTCTCGCCGCTGGTGGTCACGCTTTGCGGCCTCTGCTTTGGCATCGCGCTGGTCGACACCTCGCTGCTGCCCACGCTTGCCTTCTTGGTGGACGTGCGCCACGTCTCGGTCTACGGCAGCGTCTACGCTATTGCTGACATCTCCTACTCGGTGGCCTACGCGCTCGGGCCCATAGTGGCCGGCCACATAGTGCACTCGCTAGGCTTTGAGAAGCTCAGTCTGGGGATGGGGCTGGCCAACCTGCTCTACGCGCCAGTTCTGCTGCTCCTGCGCAACGTGTGCCTCCTGAAGCGCTCCAGCTCCGAGCGCGAAGTGCTGCTGGACGAGCCACCGCAGGGCCTGTACGACGCCGTGCGCCTGCATGAGCGCACCGCGCAGAGTGAAGACCGGGAGCCCAGCAGCCCGCCTGGCCCTTTCGACGGGTGCGAGGACGACTACAACTACTACTACACCCGCAGCTAGCAACCTCGCTCTTTCTCCAGGCCGCCCGCCCTCCTCCTTCGGGTCCAGATGGCTTCACTTCTAGCGCTCCCCCCCCCTCCTCTCTCTCTCTCTCTCTCTCTCTCTCTCTCTCTCTCTCTCTCTCGGCCGCCAAGGCACTCAGCCTTGGAGACCCTGAAGCCATTGCACCCTGGGCAGAGGGGAAGCATTGTGTGGGCCAACCAAGAAGCTGCCCAGGGTAGAGCCGCGCGTTCGTGTTCCCCTGCGTTTCTCCCAGTGCCAAACTCGTCGTGTAACACCGCGGTGCCTCGGGCCCGAATTAATAAACTGTGTCTGTCCGAGGAGGCCGAGTCTCTTTACTCCTGGGGGTGGGGGTGGGGTGGAGGTGTAGTCGGAGATCAGAATGAGGATAGGGTAAGTGGTCTTCCAGCCCAGGGCAGGCCTGTCCAGAGGACACCGGAGAGCGGGTGGTCCTTTGCTGCCTGGAAAGGGGTGCAAAGAAAGCAAACCCTACAGGGGCTCTCATCGCAGACCCCCTACCGCACATGTTCCCCTCCGCCGGGGACAGCCCCTCCTCTCCAAGCCCAGCGCAGCGCCCATGGGTGCCGCCTGGGGGAGCCTGCAGCCTTGTCCTTTGAGGACACGCCCAGAACTGGCCTGAGCGCTGGGGAGCCCCGGCTGCGCTTCCCTTCCAGCGGGCGTCGCGCCCGTCCAGGCTTAGAGAAAGGAGCAGAAGAGGAGCTGTGCGCCACGGAAGAAAAATGAGTCTCATCTTTCAGGGCGCGAGCTCAGGAAGCCGTGTGTCTGTTCTAGCCCCAGGTTCTGTCCTTGGAGCAGTGACCGAGCCAGGAGGGCTAGAGAGGTGACAGAGAAACCCGGTGTTACCCCAGCCCCACCCAGCCCTCCGGGGAAACAGCTATCTGGAAGGTTTCGCATCCCGGAATCCCAGGCTCAGGTGGGGGACACCTTCACCCTGCAACTCCGCCGCCCCCAGCCCCCGCAGTCTTCGGATTCAGGAGATGCGCGGGGTTAGGGGACGCCTCTGGGTTTCGCAGGTCTGGCGCTTGAATATCTGGCTGTTTGGGAGAGCGGGGTCTGTCTGTGCGCCGTCTATGTGCAAGTCTGGGAGTGTCTATGGTGGTATCTTTGTCTCAGTCGGCCTCCTACCACTACCCACGTTGGCCATCAGGGAGTTCCCTGCTCCAATCGAACGCCAGAGGATATAAGGCAGAATAAAAGGAGGGAGATGCTACGATCATCCACAAGCCAATTCCTTACGTATTATTTTGTAAGGAGGGTTTGAGCCAGGTCATGTTGCGGGGGATGGTTTCCTGGACCCCGACAATGACACTCAGCAAGGTTCTGGGTAGACGGTTACCTGGGGTTTATGGAGTTGGGGTTCCCGGGGACTGGGGAAGCCGGGCTGGGGGCAAGGGACGTGGACAGGACAGTGCTCTGCGTCCCGGTCCCGGGCCTGGAGTCTCCCGTGGATGCTCGA